AAGTGGGAGGGGAGCTGTTGCATTGTAAATTTTGGTCAATGACATGAGACAAAGTATATGTGAACTGCTGTATGAAAAGTGAATTTGCTCTGTAAATCTTCACCCAAATCAAAATAAAATTAAAAAAAAAAAAAGATGCCACCCTTGAATACTGCATTTCTTTAAAACAAAACAAGCAAACAAACAACCACAACCACAACCACAACAAAAAACCCAGCTATTTTAAACATAGATGAGGAGGTGGAGGGACAGGGAGACTAAGCAAATAGAAGTAAAACAACTAGAACAGAAATAATGAGAATGTTGACAAAATAAGAAGAATGTAACCAATGTCACTGGTCAATATGTCAAGAATCTGTGGGATGCGGGTAAATTTTGCTGTGTATATTATCACAAAAAGTTAAAGTTAAAAAGAGACAACAGTGAGTGTTCAACTCTTACAAAACGTTGGTTTCTAATCCCTCAGAGATTCTCCTTCTTCATTCTTACCTAAAATGGATTTTGCATGGTGAGCATCAGAGATGGTGAGAGAAAGGTGGGAGCACAGCGGGGCGTCCCGGCCCCTCACTCAGCAACTCCATCACTCAGGTAGCAAGGGACCCACATTGGACTTTTGAGGATCCTGGCTTTGTCCTGGATTTGAACAGGGCTAAGGGGGGGCGTTGATGAACATAAGGCTCCCAATGCACTTTCTAAATACCCCACTTTTCATCTCCTATTACTCTCCAGTGAGAGAGAGAAGGCATGTCCTTTCCACCCTTATCAGTGCAGAGGGAGACTTGAAGGATTCCACTTCCTGGCAGAGTCCCTCCTATCCTCACTGACACTGCACAGTTTTCTCACCTGGGCTTTCAGCATCTGATGCTTCCTTCCTCTTGCAGTAATGAAACACAAAAAGTATAAACACAGCCATCAGCAACAGCAACAGCAACAGCAACAGCAACAGCAACAGCAACAGGAATGATTTGCCATAAACTCCAATATATTGGGGCCCCTCCTGAAAAAAAAAAAACCACAAACACATTATTATACACTGGGCCCCCATCTCAATCCACAACATTTTTATCCTTTCTGACTTCCTGGCCCCTAACTACCAGAATCAGAGTCCCCTCTAGGACGGCCCATGCTTACCAATGGTCACAGGGTATGTAGTGTGCTTCCCATCGTGTTCTACGTGGCAGCTATACCTCTGCTCCTTTCCTTTGGGAACCCTTATGGACACGCAGGTCTCACTGGTTCCATTCTCATAAGGCAGGCCACACCTATAGTCCTGGGAGTCCTGGCTCAGGGGTTCCCCATCCGGTAGCCAGGTCAGTGAGATTTCACTGGGATAGAAGCCAGAAGCCCAGCACATCAAGGTGATGCCTTCTACAGACTCAGTGTAGGTCACATTCACTGCTGGGGGTACTGGGGGAAGAGAAGGTTTAATCAGTGAGGCATGTACCCATACTCTGCCCCCAAGTCTAAGAAAGACTATATAGGGCTGGTCCTCTCTACTTTCCCTACTCTGGCCTGAAGCTGCATTCACCCACCAGCACTCAAGCTTCATGCTACTCACAGTCTGTTTGGGACCAAGGGACCCCAATTCCTTAGACTGGCAGGGGGATGAGACCTTGGAATGTATCCTGACTCTCCACATCCACATGTTGAAGGAGGGGAGGGATAATGACAAGAGGGTTCCTGGGTCATGGAGCCCAAGACAGAACTCTCCAGGCTGAGGCAGGCTGGGAGCCAGATGGGGCAAGCCCATAATTCTGAGGCCACCATAGACAAATGATAACCTCTCCTATGTAACACCTACTTTCCCAGGTTCAGTTTCCTGCCTGAGGGCCCCCTGCTTTTCTGGATGACATTGAACAAGTCCATCCCCTCCCACTTGTGTGCACAATGTGTCAACCGGACATGTAAAGATGCCATAGGACAGGGAGGGTTTCCCTCAGGTAATGCAGAGTGAGGGCAGATAGCAACGGAGATGAAAGTTCTGCCCCAGGGTCAGTACCTATTTGCTCCTTGAAGCTCATCCAGGATTTTAGATATTTCTGTAATTTTCCACAAGTCTCTCCCTGCACACGGGGACTGTAACTGTTGCTTTTGTCTCTATCCGCATCCCAGATCTTCTTGATTTCCACAGCCAAGGTCTGGACTGTAGAGCGGAGCACCATCCATTTCTGGGTCTCCGGGTGATAGGAGAGGAAGCGCTCCCCATCAAAGAAGAAATGCCAGAAGCCCCTGGCACTCTTATCTTCCTGGATCTTACAGCCCAGAGTCTCCTGGAGGGAATACAAACCTGCCGCAGCCCAGCAGTCACTTTTCTATCTCTAGGTCCCTCTGCCTTCCCTGCCCATGGTGAAAAACTCCAGCCCAGAGCATCCTTCCCTGTTCCCTTCCATCTCTTCCTCAGTGCTGCCTGGGAGATAGCTCTTCTCCCAGCTGCATTCCATAGACCCCCATCCCTTTCACCTACATCCCCAACTAAATCCAGTGAAAAGAGATAATTCCCCATCTCTCTGCCCCAAAACTCTAAGAAAAGGAAAAGGACTCTTCCTCATTCTCACCTTTTTGCTGGTCAGTAAGGGGCATGATATCTGCCAGAGTCATTTTGAGTTCCATCCCCCTCTCCGTCAAGTCCTTGGTCTCTGTGTCACAGGTCTCAGTTCCCAAGTGGGCTTCTGCCCATGGCCCCCAGGGCTCTGCCCTACCTTTCTCACTGTCATAGTACAGGAAGGGCTTTTCATCTAAATGCCCCTCACCAAGAATTTGTGATTGCACAAAGCCATACTGGAATACCACCTTGAGGTCATAACGAAGACTGTGGGCTCCTGGGGGAGGAAGAAACCACATGTGAAAATTCTTCCTAGAAATACTGCATATCAAAGGTTTAATGGAAGGCTCTACTGTCCTGACTCCTTAAGGATGCAAAAATTAACATGTACAAAGAGATATGACATAACAAAATGACAGCAACAAATTCAAACTTATCAATAATCACCCTGAATGTTAATGGATTAAATGCACCACTCAAGAGACGGAGAGTTGCA